GGCTGGCGCCTTAGCCAGTTGAGCCACAGGCGCCGAGCCTGGCCTTCGTATTTTAACAGACACAGTAAAAATAACCTATTGAAAAGCAGTAAATGGTTTGTTAAAGAATAAGGTTTATTTTCATGTTCAGTACTATTCTTTGTGTATCTCTATCCTAGAGAAACTTAGACAACTTTGCATGTGTAATTCTTAAGTTTGAACTCTAGAAAAAAGCCACACAAATAAATTAGACTTGATGGATTTCATTAAGAAAGGGTTCTCTTTTTTTTGAGACAGAGCCTCAAGCTGTCCCCCTGGATAAAGTGCAGTGGCATCACAGCTCACAGCAACCTCCAACTCCTGGGCTCAAGTGAGTCTCCTGCCTCAGCCTCCCAAGTAGCTGGGACCACAGACGCCTGCCACAATGCCCAGCTATTTTCTTGGTTGCAGCCATCATTGTTGTTTGGCGAGCCCAGGCTGGATTCAAACCTGCCACCTTAGGTGTAGTGGGCCACAGGCACCGAGCCAAGAAAGGAATCTTAGGCCAGTGCAATGGCTCACACCTGTAATCTCAGCACTCTGGGAGGCTGGGGCAGGTAGATCATTGAGCCCAGGAGTTTGAGGTGGTTGTGAGCTACAAAGATACCAGGACCCTTTAGACCAGTGGTTCTCAACCTTCCTAATTGCCACATTTTTTTACAAATGGAACAAAGGGGTCACGACCCACAGGTTGAGAACTGCTGCTCTAGACACTCTCATCTGGGGCAACAGAGAAAGACTCAAAAAAAAGAAAAGAAAAAAATTCCTGGCAGGGCCACTTTAAATGACATCCTTTCATTTATGTTTAAGAAAGGATGCTTTAGATTTCATCTAAAGATTTCACTTAGTTTGGGGAGGGGAAAGGGTTCAGTAATTTCACACCCAGTGGGTATGATGCAGGGAAATATGGCACATTTTCTGAGTGAAGAACACAATTACAACTCAGGCTTTACTTTATAGATGCAATATAAAAAATATTTCATTTAGTTCAACATTTAGTTCAGGTTCGGCCCAGCGCGGTGGCTCATTCCTGTAACTCTAGCACTCTGGGAGGCCAACGCAGGTGGATTGCTTGAGTCACGAGTTTGAGACCATCCTGAGCAAAATTGAGACCCTGTCTCTTCTAAAAGCAGAAAAACTGAGGCAAGAGGATTGCTTGAGCCTGAGTTGGAGGTTGCTGTGAGATATGATGCTACCGTACTCTACCCAGGGTGACAGCTTGAGACTGTCTCAAAAAAAGAGAAAAGAAAAGAAAAGGAAAGAAAACCTCAGATTCAGGATCTAAAAGTAAACTGAAGCTTGGAGAGGTTAAGTGACTGGCTTATGTCTTTTTAGTCAGATTCCTTTGGGAGTAAGTTATGGAAATCCAACTCCAAAGTAGATTAAACAAAAAAAGGGAATTTGGGGGCTCAAATAACAAATAGTAGCTTCAGGCATAGCTGAATCCAGCAATTCCCATAAAGTTGTTGGAGCTTGGCATTTGCCAAAGTTTTTTCCAAAGAATTGGCTTCTTCTGGAATGGAGGAAGGAAAAGGGAGAGTCAGTAGTAGTCTCAACTTCAGGGTTTATGATCCAAGAGGAAGAGTGGCGACCCTCCCCCAGCATTCAGAAAGCAAATCTTGGGGAAGACCCTACCAGTTCTCTCAAGTAGAGTACCCACTTCTCTTGGTGGAGGGAACCGCTGTGATTAACAGTTCTACCAGGACCACTCAAAGTGAGGCAGGGTGTGGTCCTCAAAGGAAAAAGAGGTGTCTGGGAGGAGGGATCTAACACCTGGAGGCTGGACCATCGCTAGAGGCAGGGCTTGGACTAGAAACCGGGCTTTTAGAGGCCACAGTGAGGAATAGGTGACCTTAGATTAAAAACAGTTTAAGCCTCTTTTAAAGGAATATGAATTAGAAATGGAGATAAAGCTCTGAAATGGTAAGTCAAATCGCCATTTTTTTCCTTTCAGAGTATGTGAACGTTGTAAATGCAAACCCCGATTGCTAACGAATGCTCCCACCCACACTCTGTAATTCAGTGGAAGTGGATTGAAAGTCATGCCTCTGGTTCTTTTTTTTGAGACAGTTTCACTTATTAACCCTGGGTAGAGTGCCGTTAAGTCACAGCTCACAGCAACCTCCAACTCCTTGGGCTTAGGCGATTCTCTTGCCTCAGCATCCCAAGTAGCTGCCTGCCAGAACACCCCGCTATTTTTTTGTTGTGTTAGGCCGGGGCTGGGTTTGAACCCACCACCCTCGGGATATGGGGCCAGTGCCCTACTCACTGAGCCACAGGCGCTGCCCCTGCCTCTGATTCTTGTTTTCTTCCTGTCACAGGGGGGTATGCTAGAATAAAATTCTGTGGCAAAAATAAAAAAAGATTGAAATTTCCTAAAGAAATTTCATGTGAGCTCAGGCAATCCACCCTCCTCGGCCTCCCAGAGCGCCAGGATTACAGGCATGAGCTACCCCACTGCCAAGCCCTGGGAATGGGTAACTCCTACTTTTCTCTGAGGACATCTGCTATCTATTCTACACCAAGGGTCTATTCCATATATTTATTCTATATATAAAATATTAATTGATCTTAATGTCTTTATTTTTAGATTAGAATTAAGCATAAACAGATGTTCTCACGTTTTCTTCTCTTGCACCCCAAATTAATTACCTTGCACTATCCTTGGAGTACACAGAAATGGGGTGCAGACCTTCAGAAATTATGGTCCAGAGAACAATTTTTCACTCGGGCAAGGATGTTTCCATTTAAAAAAGACCTACTCATTTCAGTTGCTCAGCCATTTTATAAAAAGAGAAATGACTTTGAAATGAATTGTCTTTATAGAGATCCATAATTTGCAAGCATAATCCCCACTCTACGAAATGTTCTAAGCAACAGCTGTGAGCATTTCAAATGAGCACTATTCTTTTAACAGTTCAACTGTTGCCAAGGGAAATTAAGTTGGCTTCAAAATCTTCCTTGGTTTTAATTCTGCATTTACTCTCAATCAAAAATTGAGGAAACAGTTTCTGCTTGGCTGAGATACTGAACTTCCATGAAGACTGTACAGGAAATTGAGATATAGACACGTAAGTTTCTTGAAGGGAGGAACTAGACTGGTATTCTATAGTTTTATAGGACCTAGGATTAATGAATTCTATCTGAGCAAAAATGGGCACTAGCCATACCAATCATCTGGAGTCAGTAGGGGGAGCCTGCCTTCGTTCAAGAGTCATCTTTCCCTGTTTTCCACTTCAGTTCAAAGCAGGAATATTTTTATCTTTCACAACACAAAATTATTTTTCCACTCAAAAGCCATTTCTGGGCGTGTGCACAGAAATTTGCAACACTTGGGTGTTTAACAACACAAATGAGGAATGCAAATGCATTTTGGGTTGTCAGTTGCACATATGGTACATACAGTTTTATTTACACATAGTTCTATTCCCTAATATATAGAAAGCATGATATGCTGAGGGGAAAAACTAGGCTACACAAGGACACACCTATTAATACCATAAAAAGAAACGAATACTTGAAATACACTGAAATGCTAACAGTGGTTATCTCTCAGTTAAGGGAATATGAATAACTTTCTTCCCCCTCCCCCATTTTCTAAGTTTTGAACAACTGGTACTCTGACGTTTTTTGGTCAGCATTAATAATTTTTTTTCTTCTCTCAAAAAATGTTTAGAGTGCATTAAAATAGATGGACAATCCAAAAATATATTCTAATGAAATGCAGCATTTGGCCTAGGGCTCACCAAGGATGCAAACACTCTCCAAACATATCATCAGTTGTCTAGATAGAGTTAAGTAAAGTCTTCTCCATAAACTCTGAGATTCAACTCAATAATGAAAATTTTGAAACTCCTACAGTTTGGATCTCTAAGTAGTGGGCTGGCCAAAACAGTTGTCTTTTCTTTTTTCTTTTTTTTTTTTTTTTTTGAGACAGGGTCTCGCTCTGTCTCCCTGGCAGAGCGTCCTGGCCTCAGCGTAGCTCACAGCAACCGCAAAGTCCTGTGTTCAAGCGATCCTCCTACCTCAGCCTCCCGAGTAGCTGGGACTACAGATGCCTGCCACCACACCCGGCTAATTCTTCTATTTTTAGTAGAGACGGGGTCTCGCTCTTGCTCAGGCCGGTCTTGAACGCCTGAGCTCAAGTGATCCACTCGCTTCGGCCTCCCAGAGTGCTGGGATTACAGGCCTGAGCCCAGGGCCCGCCGATGCCGTTATTCTTAAGGAATGGATGGCACAGCCTGGCTACTGCCTCCCACTTGCACAGACTACGCAGGCGCTGGCCTCATCCCAGGTTTCAGGCTCCAGGGAGCTGATATCAAAACAAACGTTTAGGAAAGGGAGATGAGGTGAGAGAGAACTCGAAGCGTTACCCAACCCTTGCCAGACCCCAGCGGTTTAGATTTCGGGTCCGTGCTTCCCGCAAGGCTCAGCGGTGAGCGACTGCTAGACAATCAACAGACCCATCTGCCCAAGCAGAGGGGCAGCGGCGCGGGCGAACGACCTAGTCTCTGCGCAGCATCCGACGCTGGACGCCCTCGCCCAGACTTCACTAGCAGCCGAAGGGTGTAGGATCAAGGTCAGGGGGGCGCCCCCCCTACGCTGACCCTTGCCCTCGGAATCCTTTGGTTGAAGACGATCGCCTCCCAACGGCTCCGCATCGCGCGAAACCCGTCCCGCTGATCTGGTCGCACCCGTCCGGGGATCAGGGGCTCCTCCTACCCTAGCGGACACCGAGCCCCCCACTTCGGTCCACTCCAGCGCCTGGCGGAAGCGGCGGCGGCGGCTGGGCCCGGGAACCTCGGCTGCATCCGGGTCCTTCACGCCTCGGCCCAATCCTCGGTCTCCTCTCTTTCCACCCCCCTGTTTCTCCGCCCTCCCGCCGCCAATCCCTGATCGGCTCTCAACCGAACATGCTGCCGGGGGAGTGAAGGCAGAAGCCGGCCAATCAGGCCTTGCTTCCCGTTTGAAGTCTCCAGTGGGCGGGCGCCAGGGGCGGGCGCTGCTGGCCAGAAGGTTCGGTTGCGCGTGTGCCGTGGACTCAGCCGCCTGGTGATATTGACAATAGGAGAGAGAAAGGGGCATTGACTGGGACCCTCCGCTGGTAGCAAACGGTGGCTCTGGCAGCGGCGGCTCCAGCTCCAGCGGCTCCTCCTCCTGATCCTGCCTCCTCCTCCCGCTGCCGCTGCAGATCCAATCTTCCTCTCTCCCTGCCCCCCGCCCCCACGTCGTCGCTGCGGCCGCCGCTGGGTCCGGAGCAAAGAGCAGAGGCGCCGCCCGCCAGGAATGTGAGCGAGGAGCCACTGGCGGAGCCGCAACGGGATCGGTGCCGATTTGATGGGACGGGCCCGCGGGGGAGGATCGTGAGGCCGCCGCTGCCGGAGCGCTGAGGTTCGGGTCCGGCCGTGAGGCCTAGAGGCGCCACCGCCGCGGAACCGAAGGGACGCCGCACCGGACCGCCGTCGCCCCGGGTTCCCTGCAGCTGCCCGGACCTCCCCCTGCACGTCCTGGTCCCGCCGCCCGCCCCCGCTGCGGTCCCCTCGCCCGTCTCCCGCCCCTTGAAACCACAGATCATCTTTGGATTTTTCCCCAGAAGCTTCAAGGTAACTTGGTGCCTCCAGCACGGCGGCTTGTCCGCTTCCCTTCTTCCTCTCGGTCTTCCTGTGTGGCACCTACAGGGCACCGGCCTTGGGAAGGCCTGGCCAGTGCTAGCGAGGGGTGCGGTGGGGTGGGGTGCAGGAGGGGAAGCGTTCGTCCCACTTGTCTGATTTACCTGCAGACGCTTCTGACGATACCTCTCGTTCACTCTGCCCCCTCCCCCTTTCTCCACCTGGGATTGGAGGCGTTTTCTTGTCCCCCTTTATCCAGTAGCGGGGGCGAGGGATAATGGGGGGTTTGGTGTAGTGGGGAGGATTCTGTAGCAGCTTATCTTTTCCAGGGCTTGGGGTGTGGGGTGGGAGGCTAAGGGAGTATGTAAGCATCCCTACAAACCCCTTCTCCGTCTTCTTCCCCCAACTCTCCTTGCCCTCTTTGGATTATCCTGAGCCTCGGAAATGCCCCTTGTCCGCTGTTTAGTGGATGGTAAAGCTTTGAGCGCCCTGGCCCAGGGCGAAACCTGTTTCCCTGGGCTTTGCACGGACCCGCTGCGTGCAACGCTTTAGGATTGAGATCCCTGACGCTTGCTCTGGGCTGCGGGCATAAGGGGCAAATGATTAAAACAACGAAAAAAGCTACTTAAATATTATCTGTAGAAATTCGAGATGAGGAATAAAGAAGAGACAAAAAGAGTGGTGGAAATCCAGGATTTACTAAATCTTGTGTTGTTAGGGGTAGAATGAAGTTTAAATAATTCACATACCAGATTGGAAAATCGGCCCCTTAAATTTACAACGTACAAATGTGATGTTGGAGCTTCTTGCTGATGCAGTCATTTGGTATTTTAAAGAGATCTTACATCTTTTGTAGTCATTCATAGTTTGCAATTCCATTTTGTGTCATATTTAAGATTAAATTGGGTAGTTTTTTAAAACTTTTTTTTTTTTAAGGAGAACCGAAGAAAATTTCAAAATTCCAAACCTTAACATTATGGGGTTTTTCCCCCCAGTGTTTTTGACAATTTTATTTTGTTAGAATCCAGGTAACACAGGTAACTTTTTATTCTTAGATGTTGAGGAAGAAACTCCTTTACTTTTTAATATAGACGTTAAGAAACACTTGTTTTATGTGTTGGAATGACAGGTGAGTAATTGCATTTCAGTATTTCCCCCGTATGCATTTTTTCTATCTGAGTCTCTGCATTAATGTTGAGTCCCAGCACTGAGGAGATGATGGCATCTGTTTCAATTGATGAATGAAATTGAGCTTAACGCTTGTTACTTTTAGGAAATAGCCTTCATTTTAATAATTTGAGAGGGTTAAAAACTGTAAAAACACGTTTGAGTTCCGTCAGTTTGATGGAATAAAATTGGTATTTGGTGGTGAACTTCAAGGTCTAAACCTCAGGGGAGCTCACCGTGGCTATCTAAGTAGGATGCGAGTTTATGTTTCATTTCAACTTTGGTGCTTTATTTCATCATAGCTTTTTTAAAAATCAAGCTTTAATAACTTAAGGTGGCTTCATTCAAAAAGAAGACTTCTTTGAGATGATTTTAATTATGCCTTTTATGTGTTTAATTTAGTGTAGTCTATTCTGTCCTCATTTGGTACAGTTTATCATAGCTAACACAGCACCATCACTTTAAAAGTCATGCCTAGTTTCAGTAGTTGTAAATCTCACCTTGCTATAATGCACTGGTGTAGATTCTTAAAGTACAATATGGATTTCAACTCTAGAACCCATTCATAATATTAAATGTCTTAGGAAAATGTATCAATGGAAGTTTTCTAGCTGCAGAATAGCTCCAAAATTATTTCAGGAATTGCAAAATGAGAAGGGATTTGCTTTTAGAAAATGAGCAGACTGCATTGATTTCTTCAAATCTAGATCAGTGTCTTTAATGCTTATAATGGCGTATAATACCTTACAGTTATGATATTGTTTACGTGATAGTTACATTACTTTTTTCATCAGATTTTCATGTTTTCCCATGGATATAGACTTTTCATAATTGATTTGTTTACTTTAGCACATATTCCCATTTTCACAAATATTAGAGGTGGAAATTTTATAATTTGTGTAACTCGCAGGTATGTTTCCACCTTGGGAATGTGTTCATTGTATTTCTTTCTCTTCAGTAGGGATATGTCCTCAGCACCAACTACTCCTCCATCAGTGGATAAAGTAGACGGATTTTCTCGGAAGTCCGTCAGGAAAGCCAGACAGAAGAGGTCGCAGAGTTCCTCACAGTTCAGGTCTCAAGGCAAGCCTATCGAGCTAACACCTCTGCCACTGCTGAAAGGTAAGCCTCAGGACCAGGTGATGCATTCTTTTTCAAGTGATCTTTCCTTATCTATATATGATTTTCTTTTTGTAGAGTTTCATATCTGTTAAAAATCTATGTTGCAGATGGAGGGGATAGGAGACTGTCAGATGCATTGTAGTTACTGAAGTGTGACCAGATATGTCCCCTATCCTTTCTAAAGGGCTCATTTTAATCCAAATAGCTGTGGACAAATGAAAAGAAACTTATTGTCAGGAGAATCTCTCACATTGACAAGCAGAAAAACTCAATGCCCCAGAAACTTAAGACGACTGGGTCTGTTAGTGTTTTCATTTCATCTTCTGTTGACATTTAGAGGGATATATTGTTTGCAATTGACAACTACAGATAGGACATTAATTTACATAAAGTAGTGTTTGAAAAAATTCATTTTTAAAAATAAAAAAATTGTCAGTTTATAATCGATTAAGTGCATCCTTGCTTTCAGAGAGTACAAATAGAAAGGATATATGATTATCACACTTATCTAATATTTCTTTCCTCTTTACTTTGGAATGCATTAAGCACAAGTTTTTGTTTTTGTTTTTATTTTTCTGAGACAGTCTCACTTTGTTGCCCTCGGTAGAGTGCTGTGGTGTCACAGCTTACAGCAACCTCAAACTCTTGGGCTTAAGGGATTCTCTTGCCTCAGCTTCCTAAGCAGCTGGGACTACAGGCGCCTACCACAACGCCTGGCTATTTTTTTGTTGCTGTTGTCATTGCTGTTGTCATTGTTGTTTATCAGGCCTGGGCCAGGTTTAAACTTGCCAGCCTGGGTGCATGTGGCCGATGCCATAACCACTGTGCTACGGGCACTGAGCCTAAGCACAAGTTTTTAATGTGAGGACTATTTTTCTCTAAACTAGACCTTCCAACTTTTGTTTGGGTACGTGCATACTTTTTGTCCCATTTATTTATTTATTGTTTTGAGACAGAGTCTGACTTTGTCACCTTCAGTAGAGAGCTGTGGTGTCACAGCTCACAGCAACCTCCAACTCTTGGGCTTAAGCAGTTCTCTTGCCCCAATCTCCGGAGTACCTGGGACTACAGGTGCCCGCCAGAATAGCCTGGCTACTTTTTTGTTGCTGTTTGGCCCGGCCTGGGTCCCTTAGTATGTGAGGCCGGTGCCCTACCCACTGAGCCACAGGTGCCACCCTTTTTGTCCCTTTTAATTTCCATTTATTTTCTTCATGTCAAACAGGCATTGTTTGAAAAACATCAAAATGTAGCTTTTATAGTGTGGAAACTATCAGAAACTATTCTTGAAGATGTATATTTGTTTGCTGAATACTCAAGAATGGGGAGAAAGAGTTCGTAAACAACACCATGAACTTTCATGACTCGGTGGAAACCAGGCAACCTTGTTCACTAATTCATTAATGTAGATTTATTGCTGTAGCATTTTGTGAAACCAGAGGTTTTATAATGTGACTAGAAAAGCTCCTCAAAATTTAGCTTAGAGTATTTAAGGTTTTATATTTTCCATGTGAACACTTTTTTTTTTTAAAGGGAGGGATTCCAGTGTTTATGGTTGATGTCCATAGGTACTAGATGAGTGCTTATTACTATAAAGATGCTATATTACTAGTTAGTAAAGGTAAACTCTTATGAGTTTTGGGGGTGAAAATTACTAACGATTTTGCTAGTAAACATGAAAATAGTCATTATGAGGCTTTGGAAGAAAAATAAAGGAAAAACTCTAGGGATAACCATGCTTGAAATACAGGGTTGAGAGACAGACTTTAGTAATTTATTTAATCTGAATTAGATATGTACTAGCTATTAGGATCTATATATGGTGAAGGATTTAATTCTGGTGAAGAAAGCAGGTTAAACTTTTTTAAGATTAAAAGGAACTTAAAAACTATTGTTGCATTAATTTCTTAGGGCTCATGGTAAACACTTAAATTAGAAATTAACTTTGGCTTGGTGCCCGTTGTTTAGTGGTTAGGGCGCTGGCCACATACACTGGAGCTGGCGGGTTTGAACCTGGCCTGGGCCTGCCAAACAACAATGACAACTACAACAAAAAAATAGC